AAAATGCTTATCGTTCGCTTCCTGACAAAAATTCACATCTTTACATTATAAAATGTTCCTGAGATAATTTCGTTGCAAGCATCTTTTTTTACATATACAAGAACTGAAATGATCGCGATTATGTATCGTTAACTTTTGATGTCACTTATCACCTGAAAAAGATCTAGATGCATCATATCGAAAGGACCATTCTACTGGTTTGGGTAGTTGACAAACCAAAATGAGTTTTCAAATGATGGTACGATTCAGCAAAATGAGGTAAGAAAGGCTGGTTTGGAAGAGGATCTGCTCTGTTTTGAAATCTGTTTTTCCGTTAATCAGCTGTCACCCCCATACGAACGACAACTCTCAGAAGTTGAGAAACTTATGCGGGCTAAGGAATAACGAGGTCTTATTTATTAACATGTGATTCCTAACAGGATAGATGACAGTTATCCAAAGTGATGGATAGGGAAACGTGTCCCCTAGAAAAGCCCACTAGATCACCCGATATGAAGCTCTTGAAATCTTGAATATACTCTACACATCGGCATTCCAGAGCTTATGCACAGAATAAAGGATGCTTCTGAAGAAATTACCCCAGAAAACAATCCATGATATGATCATTGTTATCACGTGAATGATGAACATTTTGAATATTTCTTGAAATAAAGAGAAGTGAGTTTTGAATACATTTTTTCCTGAATTATTATCGTCCGTTTGCAGATCTTACAAATGAAATGAAATAGCTTGAAATATCTTGGCATTGTTCTTGATGAAAAACTGAAACGTGAAACGCTCACTTGTAATTTTTTTTACACAAATCTAAACTGTCCCTAAAGACAAATCGAAGGATTTGTGGTAAAACTTGGGGTTTAGGTCCAAACAAATCCTTTCGATTCATGTGTTGATTGTCAGATCAATGATAATTCATCGAGCAACGGCCTGGTGTCCGAATGCTTCAAGAAAACGGCTCAGGCGAAGCTGTCTGTCTCACAGAGACAAGCTTGTCTGGCCATCAGTGGCGACATCAGTACCACACCGTCAGCGGCCATGGAGATCCTTCTGGATCTACCTCCTCTCCACATTTTTCTGGAGAGAGAGGCTAGATGGAATATAGACTTGTGCTAATTGCATAAGTCTATCTAATGCAGAGTACAACTGCCTGCTGGTCATAGAGTCATAGCATTCTGGGAATGACCTCTGACTTTATGCCTCCAACTGACAACAACGAACTGTCTTATGAAGTACAATTCCCGAGAAAAGAGGACTGGATCCTTCAGGAGGAGAAAATATTGAGAGCAGATATTTGTTGGTTCACAGAAGGATCGAAAACCCCTTCAGGTTCTGGTGCAGGTGTTTTCAGTTGCAGACCCAGGATAGAGATATCAATCTGCCTAGGAACTTCTGCGACAGTACTTCTAGCGGAAATGTATGCTATTGAGTTGTATGCGGAGAGATTCTAAGAAATCAACTTCATACACAAGCCAGTTAAAATATTCTTGGAAAGTCAAGCGGCGTTAAAAGCTCTTGGCTCCTACCGAGCAACGTAGAAAATTGCCAAAAACAACTCTCCTCGATAGAAAGTCCTAACAGATTGTCTTTGGAAGGATATGAAGCTGCAAAGGAGGATGCTGCAAGCAGCTCCATCGGACCATTATATCATAGATTTGGAAAAAAAAACTTAATGAATTTCTATTGTTTTCTGTGTTTGTTTCTGCTCTTAAAATAATGCTTTAGCCAATATTTATTCAGTGAAACTTTTGCAGTTGCAGCAATTATGAACAATAGGAGACGAACTCTTTGATTTCAGACCAATTTTACAGGATATATTTATATGTAATTGGTATTCACGAAGTTGATTCTTGTTATTCAAGAAATATATTCAGGTATGAACGTATATGGGGTAGTAATGGGGCTGAAGTATCATCTTTCAACCTGTGGTTCTTAGCACATGAAAAGGTGAGCATGAAGACTATGAAGAGTCTTACTTGATTTTAATCGTCATAAAGAAGGAGGTCTCATCTTGACAATCATTAAACCACATGAAATGCTGTGAAACAACCAGCGTTAACTGATCACCATATTCGTGTTCCCAATCAATATCTATACTACGTTCGTATTTGGTATTTCACACATTTAATCTCGTATCTCTTATTTTGAAACGTTTTTCCTTATCATCTGATAGTATATAAATAAAAGTTTCATTGTTCATCGTTATAGAAATCAGAATTATAAGCAGAAGTGTGACAAAAACAGTGATAAATTTTGAACTTTAGGTGTACAGAGAAAGGTACGTAGATATATGTTTATTGGACAAAATCTTTAATCTAAATAGTGTGAAATACATTTCTATGTTTTTTTTATTTCTTTTGATTTCTCTGGCAATAATTTCACATCAAGTACGTCGAATCTCATCAATATCTATAACGGTGTTCCGCAAGGGTCCATATGGGGCACACTACTATTTGTATTATATGCATCACAATTTACAGATTGTCTTCAATATTCTTCTGTCATCTGGTACGCCGATGATACTCAAATCTACAAAGAATGCGATGAAGATATTTTTGACATAACACAGAAAAAACTTAATGATGACTTATGTTCTCTGATGAATTTACCAACCAAATATTGCTTGACAGTCAATCCCTCTAAGTCAGTAGTTATGCTCTTTGGAAGGACATTGTCACGTAAACGCAATCTAGACAAGGTTTCTATAACTGCAAACGGAGTTGAGTTACCTCTCAAGGACTATACCTCAACAGTTCTTTTAGATTCACACGACACGTATCACAAATTGTTAAACGAGGGTACAGCAATCTCAAAATGATATATTCTAATAGAACACTGTTGAACAAAAGAAAACAAAATGACCTTGTGCGAATCTTTAGTGTTATCACATGATAATTTTGCGAACGTAATATATGGTCCCAATCTAGTTCAAGCTGACAAGAATAGATTACAAAAGCTACAGAATTCATGTGTGAGGCTGATAACTGGAACAAAAAGACGCGACCATAGTCGAGTAATTTATACCAAATCATTTCCATTGGTATATACTTTAAATTGTTCGTCGAATCACATCTTTTGTAGCACCATCAACGTTTGAGAATTTTTCATTCCTTTGTTTTCGTTTCATTGCATGGTCAATGACATCCCCTATTTCAATGACTCAAAGAACTGGAAGTTTGGTGTTAGGGTAATTGATCTCTGGAAAAGTTTTCAAAAATCGATTTGCAAAACCACTCACTACCTCACCTAACCCCATGAACACGTGGCACTGATAAATAAATATTGTGGATCGGCCAAATAATTAGTATTCAGCCAGTCCAGCTAGCCGAGCCTTTATTCCTAAACTACATTTGATAACACGTTTATTAACTATCTGGGCGACTAGGGGCCACAGGCAAGAAATGTTTNTTCCATATCTGAGCGGGGAATCAATCAACCCAAAAAAGTCGGCCCTCGATGCGGATAAAGTAAATTACTTCGATTCTACTCTCAAAGCAAAGCATCCCAATAAAAGTTTCTCGTTGCATAAATTTGAAATGTGATCATCGAAATGGAAATTTTCATGAACATATAATCCTAAAACTTTTGTTATTGGCTCCGATCTGCCTGTCGAATGTTCTAGCGTAATTTCATTTAAAACACACCTGAGAGCTAAAATGCAGATTTCTGTGGTAATGAAATATAGCCTACTCGTATTTGCATCACACCACTTGCTAACCCTTTCTAAGTTAGTCTCAATATTATCAATGAATTCATCATTGTTCTTCGAATGTCATATTGATGTGGTGTCGTCAGCAAACATAGTAAATTCTCCCTCAATATCGATGTAAGCCGAGTCATTTATATACTTCAAGAACAATGCTTGACCGTGAACTCCACAAGTAACTGAATAGGATGGAATTCCCAACCAGCAAAATTGTTTTATAATTTCATGGTGCTGCAACAGTTTTATTTTGTTGGTATTTTATAATTACTTCCAGAATGCTAATTGATTATATTAGACGAGTCGTGAATATAGGCAATGAAAGTGTTTTATAAATTTGTCATAGAAACGTTTATAAAATAAAATAATTAATACCTTATGAAATAGTCACGAAATTATCACAGAAACGTTTTCACAACTAACTTCTAAAACATATTTTCCTATGACAGTAAATTGTTTTGAAGAAGTTTTACAGTACTTTTCTGAGAGGTTTGTATGCTCTTTATAAAACTTTATAAAACACAATTTTGTTTTCATTACCATATTGCAAAGGAATAATAAGGTCTTACCTTTTAACGTGTGATTCCTAACACGGAGTGTTGCAAAAAATGATCGAGTCATTTTTTTATGGGAAAAACAGAGTTTTTTACTCTCCACAATTAATTTTATCGGAGCTAACTAAAAAGTTAGACTATTCTACGCCTGTTAGAAGTTGTCCATTGCAATTTTTGTATATTTCAGATTGTGGAATATGAAAAAAACTCAAAAAATGGTCGTAAATACTTTGAGCTTTCCAGTATATTGGAAATTATGACTAGGTATCAATAATAAGACAACTCGGTTTCAATTTTCAAAATGAACGCACCCGAAAGTAATCAATTGCCTCAACTCGTGCAAGTCATGATAGCAAAATGATAATCTCTAACAAAAAAAAAAAATGTGTCTGATTATTTTATGTCGATCTGTCAGTGTAGTTATGGAAGATTCGCTTTATTCATATCCAATGATACATTTATGCAATATTATTCTCCTTGAATAACTCCTTGAATAATTATCAACCGCCACAACATAAAGATTGCTTTTCTTTACAGATGATGAAAATCACCCCGACCATATTTCCCCCAAAGGAGTCAATTGAAAGATGTTCCAAATGCCATGAATATCTAACAGTTGGACCTATCACAATCTCCACCGGTGAACCAATATGTGGCAGGTGTTCACACGATATGGATCATGTCGCTCTGTTCTATGAAAATTTGGCTGTATATATGTTTTTCCCATGCATCAATGATCGCTTTGGTTGTGATGCTAAATTAGTTTGGGGAGCAGTGTTATCTCATGAAAAAAAATGTCAATTTTCGCCAGTAGAATGTCCTGCTTTGAACTGTAAAGAGAAAATCGGCAAGGAAAGATTATTGGATCATTTCAAGTCGAGTCACGATGAACTTAAAATGGATGGAAATCAAATCACAATATCTATGAAAGAATGTACTGTTTCCGTAAATAAGTTACTTATTTTGGGGAAAACATCCATCATATTCAAAATTCATTTCGCTAATCCCTCATGGTACTATAATATAACGTCATGGGAAAATCTGGAGAGCAAAGATTTGAAATGCAATATTTTAATAGAAGATGATAAAAAGAGATACGAAAAAAAATTAAAAGATGTTTCCATTGTCCCCTATACAAGCAAAAGACACAAATTATCCCAAATGACGGAATTGGATTTACCTTCCTTGGCAGAGATGTGGAATACGGAGACTTTCGTTTTAACCATCCTCACAGAATCATCATCTGACACATTGCTCGATAAAAATCTTCTTTCGGAGTTGAAATGTCCAAACTGTACCGGTTTTATGAAACCACCAATTCCAATGTGTCCGGGCGGTCATAGCATCTGCAACTCTTGTAAATTGAATATTTCTCAGTGTCCTTTATGTTCAGCGGAAATGAGAGACAACAGAAATTTTACATTAGAGAGATTGATCGAACATGTAGTTTTTCCCTGCAAATACGAAAATTATGGTTGTGGATTTGTTGGAACATTATCTAATATTAATCTTCACGAACAAGGTTGCCCCATTGGATCCAATGAGTTGATGGAATGCTTTATTAATTACCTCGTTCCTTGCTCATGGAAAGGAATACGGTCTGAAGCGATTTTACATTTGTCCAAAAATCATACAAAGTTTTACATAAACATCAGAAAACCTATTGTTATCAATTTGAAAGAGTTCAAAGCTTTGAGTGCATTCACTGAATATAATTGTGAAATTTTTAAAATCCACATAACATACGACAAAAAAGGGGGATTGAATTTATGTGTGAAATTTATTCCAGGCAAAAAGAAAAACAATTATCGATATTATTTAAATTTTGTAGATCGGAATAGAAATTACAGATTATTAAGTTTGAATAAATTTTGTACAATATCAGAACCACAGAACGATACTTTGGATACATCTTTATTCGTGAAGAAACAATTGATCAAACCATTTTTGAAAAAAGAAGTACTTGAATTTAAATTGAATATAGTTAATTTTTAACTGATGTTCAATACATAACTCAATTCTGTTGAATTATACTTACTTAATTCCACAATTTTTACTATGAAGTGACACCCTCTGACAAAGGCAAATAAATGATCATCCTGTATATGGAAAGTAAGTAGAAATTGATTCTATTTGGTAGGGACGACCATCGATAGACAGGTTTCGGAGTACTTGCTGCTCGTCAGCTCCGGATAGACTATTCAATGGAACTAATATTATGGATCCAAGGCAACTATTCTTTTTACGTAGCAACATCAAACAGCATAATTCTAAGCACGAATTGAAGAACCCCGAACATCAATACAATACAAGGAACAGACAACTCACATACTTGACTCCTTTTATGAGAAAATCAAAAGGACAAAAAAGTCTGACATATTTGAGTCCCAAACTATACCAATGTCTTCCAGCTGAAATTCAAAATATTTCAAGGCCAACTACATTCAAGTATCACCTGAAATTGTATATTTTCTCATTGCCCAGAACAACAATTCACAGACTGATCATGCCATACAAAAGAAAAACCTGATACTTACCTTATACCTTAATATACCTCATCAAATATGTACACATCTTTTATATCTATCTACTTTTACATTTATATTTCATATTCATTTTAGTTTTCATACTCTTATACAAGTATATATATATGTAACCCCATTTCCTCCATGCACAGGCCCCGCCTATAGTGGTTTTTTCACATGTTTAGGTACTGCTGACTGCTAATGTTTATGTACCTTTCATTTCTAATAAACGTGTAGTATTATCATTATTATTATCAAGAGCTCTGCTCTTATCGCCAAACCACTTTGTTCACATATTTTGTTTTAATTGTATTCTAATCTGTATACGTTGTGAATAAAGTTATTATTATTATTACAAGTGTTGAACAGCTAACTAATTCATTTTTAAAAGATAATGAAAAAGAGCCTGTATCTCGATAAAAACTGGCTTTTCTCGATAAAAACTGGCTGGTTCCATACCCCCTAAAATTTGCATGGGTTCAACTGTGGCTCTATATGAAAAAATGTTCTCACGATAAGAAAGTCATGGATCCATTTTTCATTTCAGAACTTATAATTTTAACTTATGTTATTCTAAACCGAGATATCCCATCCCCATTTTTCTATAAAAAAACCTGTAGGTAAAGTGTTATCTGAAAAAATCATGCATGCTTATGATGCATATTTTTGTGAGCTGATTCATATAGTAATATGAAGAGGCATTTTTCATCTATGATGTGATCTTATGCCGCAACATTCGGTTTTTAGTTTTCCCCAAAATATTTTCGACTTCACAGGAGCCTTTGTTTATGTATAAATTAGATATACAGGTACGAATTACAACATTTCACTGTTCATGCATTAACTCAACGACCAAACTCCACAGAATATTATGTTCCCCTCAATTTGTCCCATTCCATTTCCCAGCTTCATAAATAGCTGCCATTTGTATTTCCACAAAGTTGGGTGGCGCCCATTTCAGTGTTAATTTAAATTTTCAAACGAATTCATAGTGCTCTCCGATGCAAAAATTATTGAATTGTCAATAATATCCTGCAAGGTCAAATCATAAAGAAGGAAATCGACATAAATTGCTTTGAAATGTTTCCAAGAGGAAGATACTGTCCATGAAGATCACAGTGGAGTCATCACAATTATCTGGGTGTATTGTCAATTAGTATTTATAACTTCTTCGATTGACGACTTGTTTATTTTGTGGAAATTCATGTTCACTGAGGATACAAAATGATTTTGAAAATGGTGTAATAGCCGAAACCGGACAACAATAAAGAAATATAGTGGAAAATAGACAAAAGTGTGTTTTTGTAGTGTATCCTCAGTGAACATGAATTTCCACAAAATAAACAAGTCGACAATCGAAGAAGCCATGTTATTATGCTTGAAAGGTTTGTACGAATGAATAAATAAATGAACATATAATCAGAAATAGCAGTAGAGTGGACAAAGTTCGATTATTCATATCATAATTGATTTCTTTTTTTACTAGTACTTGTCACGGATCATTCTGGATACCAAATGAGCTTGGTATCCAAAATAATGATTGAAGTCAATATCTTGTGAATCGCACAGTGCATCCTCCAAACCAATTCGATACTGTGATGTAATCCACACAAAAGTCCTCTTTAGCTCCAACTAAAAATCAAATTTATCGTGACATTTGGTTNCGATGCCTGGAAAAAAAATTATTGGAGGTCAAAAGCCAAAAATCTCGAAAAAAATTGGTTTTTCAGGAAAACGGTGAGTGAAAAACCAATTTTTTTCGAGATTTTTGAACTTTACCTCGAATAAATTTTTTTCCAGGAATCGCAATCATTCGGAATTTTAAAATCTTATTTATAACTATGTTTTGCAGCTTGTTGTAAATTTATGTACCTTCCAATGTCTAGATTGACCGGATTACATGAAGGGGTCTAAGTGTAAGTCATAGAAGAACCTATGAGAAGGCCTGTTTTTGGTGGGCATGCTTCCACGACGTAATGTGAGATAAAATGACCCAAAACTGGATTGTTCTTTAGCACCTCAATATCGTAACACAGTTAATAAAATTCACACTGCAGAGGAATCGCCAGGTTGAATTGATATTCCTGGAAGTGAAAGTGAAAAGAATCAATAACAAGTGGACACGTCTACTCATCGGAAATTAATTTACATGGAACAGTAAAGAAGGATCCAGTTAGAAGAAGCATGGTAGAAGAAATATTCCTCCAAAGATAACAGTCAGCCAGCAAAGAGGAGAAGCTTTTGTATTTTGCAAAAATCTGAAAACGCAACTCCATTGTAAAGATGTATTCGATAGTTTTTTTTTCATTCTTGTGATAGCACATCTCTCGTAATACATACTGTTAACGTATTCAAAAAACACTATACTGTGAGATTTTCACTAAACAGTTTTACAAAAACGCAACACGTGTTTCGCCATACAATGGCTTCTTCGGTGGCAACACAACGATGGACAGCATTTACGTACGTAGGACACCAAACCAAAAAACTAACAAACATCTTCAAACCACTGAGGGCCACCTCAAATTGAATCAATAGACTCAATAGGCTGTTTCAGCCTATTGGGCATCGTCAGTACCGGACAGGCGGTTCTCGATTGAAGACAAAATGAGAAAAGCCAAGAAAGTACTTGCTAAAAATACCTGCGTAAACGCAAGCGAAACATAAGTGGAACCACCTATTGGTGTGACACCCAAGTCAACTTGCCAAGTTTTTATGTCAGTGTTGGTGGTTTGACCAATCAACCGACAACTACGGTAGCAGAAATTTGGGAAGCTAACCTGAAATGCCATCGGAAAACGAATCCACATGTTTCTAGAAATGATGTGCGAGCCACAATAAACCCTTGCGGGTTGCGGTAGAGGGTCGAATAGACCCACTCACTTTGGATCTAACCTAACCTAACCAGTTCGTGGTGCAGGAGACGTGAGAGTTCTGATTTTCAGAGACATGGCGACTCCCGCTCTTCGTAGTCGAGCGAGAGACGTGAAGTTCCAAGTGTGAAGGGGCACTTATAGTCACACGTTGGATACGAGTCACGCATTGTCTCGCAGACTCGATCTTATCTTCCATCTACTATACCTGACTTTCAATCTTCTGAATCGCTAGTCTAGGATTCCGTCTTTTCGATTCAGAAAGCGACTAAACACTGTTGTACACGATGGAGATAATTTGCCAGATGTCAGCGCTCTCTTTAAAAATTTCATAAAACCTCGCATTCCAAAGAACCACTTGCTGTAGCTTCACGGGCTTGATTTGGTGGAGCGCCCTATTTTTCCGATTATATCCATTGGGAGGAGCATCCGAGTCTCCTCTATAGTAGTGCCAAAGAGTGGTAGAACGGCAGCTTCCACCACTTCATTAGCAGGCTGAGAAGGAGCTTTATTGTTTAGACGTCGAAGAAGTTACATTAGCTTAAGTTTTGGGTGGAAAAGGAGGCATGCTTTGGATGTATTTCACATCAGAAAATATACATTCTCGATATTTAGAGTCAGTTGTTGTTATATTCAATAATCACCGAGGCGCCAAAAGTACGAACTTGATCTCAATCAGCCTTAATACTGAGTTCAGAACCATAGTTGAATCGTGAGGAATATCTGATAAATGCCTCATTATCACTATTATTATCATTTGCAAAACTATTATGAGAAATAATTCTGCAACTTACTCGGGTATTACTGTATGTTTATATTCTAATGATGAATTGACGCAAGGTGGGAATTCGGGCCTTATTTTGGACGTCATGATCTAAATTACTTTGAAATTTTCCACCTACATAGCGGTATTTCATAATTGGATTTCATTAAAGCACACCTGAATGCATTAATTAATGTTTTCAAAATAGTCCCATATTCAACATAGAAATGCTGTTTTGGGATTATTTCAAAGCAAATTCTGCATTTTATGCAGCACTTCATTCGTCTATGAGTGTCACAAACTTAAATGAGTAGTTATAATCTATTAATTTGTTGAAAGTAGTATTGTGAAAAAAATAATGAAAAACTAAGTAAAAAAAATATAGATTTGATCCTTGTGGTTCACCAAATGTGGCTATATATTCGATAGACATGAGACCATTGGACGTACTGCTTACGGTTGTGAAAATAATATGATTTGAAAAGGGTAATCATTTCATTGGATAACCCAAAAGTCGAAAGCTTGTTGGGGAAGACAATCAATATCCTCTGCAATTCATTGAGTGATTGTTACAAGATTGGTGGTTGTTGAACGTCTTCATGAAACCGTGTTGATTGGGGCTAATAATGTTGTTGACATGACAATAGATTGTCTTCTCAAGAAGCATCTTGAACACTTTACAAAAGTTGCATATGATAGAGATTGGTCTGTAATTTTTTATCTCACTTTCATCTCCTTTTTTGAAAACTGGGCAGACTTTCGACATTTTCCATATTGATTATTGAATAATTGAAGTTGTTAGTCGTTCAACCAGAGCTGGGGCACAATTTTTAATGATGAATGCTGGAATATGATCAGGTCCCGCAGTAAATTTAGGCTTTAATTTTTTTTTGGAGTTGGTCCAAATTCGGGCTACGGTTTACTTTCTCCACCATAACTTTGTTGAAATGAATATAATCAACTTCAACTAGGCTAGGCCCAAATTTAGAAGTAATACACTGGGAAAACATAAACAAAGCCTAACGGCAGCAATTGCCTTCTCCATTTCCAGTTCTTCCTTTTTTTTTGAGGTCTGTACTTGGGTTTTTTTTCGGTATCCTGGAATGTAAACGGTGAGAATAAGAAATATTGACTAGATGGTCCACTGGTAGCGTGAATTTGGACCTTTACTATGGCGTCGGATTGAGGTTAGTTATACACGAACAAGTAAGAGGAGAGGTAAGAACTATATATTGAAACCTCAGTATATTTATAATCAAACTCATCAGTAAGAATGCTGTTGTCATAAATCTAGATTATGTAATAAAATGAAGGAAATGTACCTGCAAAAGTTTTCAGATGGTCAAATC